ATATGAATTATTTTTAGAATCCAACCTCCGAAAGAAGTCCAGAAGTAGAGAGCTGAGATAGATTCTTCGAATTTTGGACTGTTTATAACACCATCGCCTTTGGAGCAAAATGGCACTACATCGGCACGTTCAAATGAAATCATACCTACACAAAAATAAAAAATTGACCTTTCCTAGGCCTATTTAGTTATATAGAAAATTTTTGCTGTCCAGAGACTGATTCGCCCTTTAAGAGTAACATTGCTTTTCTAAGAATTGTCTGGCAGAACCACAAAAGGGAGTGAAATATTGGTCTAGTTTTTCATTGATTGAAGTTGTGACATGGTTCACTTCTCGTCTTTAGTACATGAAATTGGATCAGTAAGTTGTAGGTAGATGTGAGGTGGGGTGATGTATGGTTCAGAAGAGTTGAACTAGAATGGAGAGATGAGTATTATTACTCAATTGCAAGCCTTTTTTTCTGAGCCCCAAAGAAATGAACTAATGTCATCAATCATCATTGTATTGTGTTCCATAAACCAACCCCTCAAACTGCTTAAGAACGAGTCATGGAATTTCTTCTCCTTCCCTTGTAAGTTTGACTTAGTTGATTTCATCTCTTAACAATTATAAGGTCAAGGTGATGTTAGAAGGATCTGTGGTGGTTTGTAAATTTGGCTGGGTGAAGATATTGATACCGGGGTGTATTGCCTCCTCCTTGTGAAATATGAGTGAGCGAGCATGAGGCCTAATCTGTAATAAAACTAGCATTCTGATGAGTTTTTGGCAGTGGATGGTTGTTTACTTTATTTATTGTGTTTTGTAACTCGAAAATTTATTAACACTCTTGTTCTCATATCTCAGGTGAGCGAGCCAGGGAAGTGGGGTTACCCGGCTGATCAGAAGAAAATAGTGGTCCAATTTTTTGGGGGCGAACAAATGTGAGTACTAATGTTTCTCAAGTTAACATTTTTATTTAAACTAAGTTTATCCACTCTTTGTGGTTTAGTTTTTCATTGAACTGATCATCCCATTTTGATACTATAATAATTAGACAAGCATTTGTTAATGATATTGTTTTNATGTCTTAGATTCTTATGCCGGGTGTATTCCTTAGGTTCTGTCACTGATCCCATGCTTATGTCTTTACTAGCATGACCAATGCTACTTGCAAATTCCCATCCTAGTTTATATAATTTCTTGGCCATTCTGACCTTTTGTCTAGTAATTAAGGATCATGACCTTTTAATATTTATTTGAAACACTTTCTTACTCTTTTCCTTTCAGTTTGTTGTGTAAGTCCATTTCTTTTTCTTATATTTCCATCCGTAGCTAGTGAGTGAACCTAACACTCATAGAAAGCTCTTTACATGGTAGGATATGTATTAATTTTTGTTTGAATTTTGAAGAATTTTTGTTTGAACTTTGAAGCAGTTGTCTAACAATCCATCCATGCATATTATGTTTTAGAACTTATTTTGTGTCATAGTATGGTTATTCGAGTGCCATTTCTGTTATTTGTTCTACACCATTAGTTTTGGTAGTCTGTAGTTGCTCATGGTTTGATGGCCTGGCTGACATGTATATCTGATAGTTGTAGATAATAATGTCAATTGAGAATCTCATCATGTATCCTATGTGATAGGTAGAGCTCATTGGTGTTGAAATACCACAATTTATGTTGAAACTCCGTAGTGATTAATGGGTTGGGGTAGAACACATACCGAAAAATTAGCACCACCATAATGGAGCCATAGAGATACGTATTTCGTGTATGTGTATGGTTGCATCTGTTGTAAAATTTGTCTTGGTGTTCTAGGCTTCTAGTTGGAAAATTATTGTGGCCTGTGTAACTATTAAGAATTCCCTGTTTTTTTCTTTTCTTCCCCCCCCCTTTTATTTGTTTCTTTTGTACAGTGCTTTCTGTAATCCAGTGGATATAGAAGAATTCACAGAAGAGAAAAAAGTTTCCTTGTTGGGGAAACGGCATGGGAAAGGTGCAGATTTTGTTCGTGCAGTAAATGAGATAATCGACCATTTTGAGAATTTGAAGAAGCAGGAACAAGTTAGTGGGGCTAATGGTACTGAGGAAACTGATATCATCAATGAGAACAACTCGCAAGAATCTGTAGTTGCATCTAGGAAGGATGAGGCTCCTTTAGTTAAGGTCGATCCTCTTTCTGCTGGGACCACTTATGATCTGGATTCTCTAACTGAAGCTGCTGTAGCTGCTGCCACCGATGATGCTTTTGAGAATGAAGACATGCAAAACTTGGTTTTTACCGATATTCCAGTGTCAACTCCTTATTTAACAAGACACAGAACGGATATTGCCCGGTCACAAAACAGTGGCTCAACAAAGAAGAAATCTGCCAGAAGGTTAAGAAGTTCTTCAAGGATAGATAGTAGGCTCCGGAGTACAAGTTTGCCTTCTGTTAATAAGAACAGGAACTCGAGGCGCTTCTGTGTTAGTGTATCAGAAGATAGATCTGTAAAAAGAAGTAAAAGGATTGTCAAGTCGTCTGATGAGTCTGATGGACAGAATGTCGACTCACTTGCTTTTGTAGCAAGTGATCGTATTGAAGAGAATAATTCTGGACTGATGAGTCTGAACTCGGATACACTTAGTATCGATGATGGCAGCACTGTCGACTCAGTTAGCAAACCATTAGGAGTGCAGGAGCCCGCTGCTGAAAATAATGAAGGTGAAACAGAGTTAAGTGATAGGCTTGACTTTCAAAGTAACAATGTTGTTAAGAAGAAGAGGAAGCCTAATCGGAAAAGACACAACACTCATACAGTTGACACAGCTACACTCAATAGAGTGGCTTCAGATGCTGATGACCTCAAAGTTGGACGTGTTTCACCCAGTTTTGGTGAGAAGCCGGCCCAAAAACAGGCTAAGGATGATGGTGATGAACACTTGCCATTAGTCAAAAGAGCCAGAGTTCGAATGGGCTTACCATCACCATCAGCTGAGAAAGAATTTCCTTCAGTGAATAAAGAGGAACATATGCCTGAAGTTCGTGAAAGACATAGTGTGCAATCATTCGAGTCCTTGAGTTGCAAGGTGAATGGTCATGCCGAGGTGAAAGACCATGCTAACAAGGAATCTGTTCCTGTTAAGGAAGAACCATCTCCTTCATCTGTATCCCATGTAAGTCCTGCCAATAGGCCGAGCTTTTGGGAAACAAGAAAGGATTTTCTTGATGGGGAAGCTGCTTTACCTCCGTCTAAACGTCTTCATCGTGCCCTTGAGGCCATGTCTGCCAATGTGGCTGAAGATTGTCAAAGAACTTCGAATTTTTCAGTAGCAGCAGATATTCAGAGCAATGGGTACTGTGATTCCTTGGAATGCTATGAGATGGCTGAGGGAAAGAAAGATACTATTGAATTAGGATCTGGAGCTATGGTTGATACAAGGAATTGTGATTCTCTGTTGGGTGCTCCCGAGTCATGCATTGTGTCGGATGTAGGAGGGTCAGGAATTGGTGCGGAAACTACTGAGGTTGTATCAGACTGTGGTAAAGCTAATATTACTGATAGCCAGAATCCTATATTTTGCACAGGTGCATCTGGACAAGTGGAAGGTGATGACGATATCAAAGTTCCAAAAATATTTCCCTTTGTTGAGGTCCCTGCAGAGAGTAACCCTGTTGTTGAGGATCATCTGAAAGTGGAAACAGAAAATGTCGGTGAGCAGACCAATTTAAACTGCAATGCACAAAGTACGGTGATGTCCCCAACTAATCACTGGACAACCAGATGCACAGAGTTGAAAGAAGCTGTTAAGGGATCTGATTCCGATATTGTGCAGATACAGGCAGATTCAACCTCTATGCAAGATATTGCTGTTAGTTTACCTAGTATTGACACCTGTAATCGGCCAGATGATGAAGGTGGTGAAGCACGGAAGACAGAGGACCTTGCATCAGTTGAGCATAATCCAGACAGTAAGATGTAAGAAAGTTTTAATGATTATGTTACTTTTTTTTTCCCTCTCAGTATGTAACTTGCCTTACCTTGCTTTCCATATTTGTGTTTTCAGGTCTGAATGTGTGGAAGAAGCTAGACCGTCATTGAATTCGAAAGTTGTGCACCCCGTTACTCCTGTGAAGGTTTTGAATAGTGGGCATGATCAATCTTTAGTTCATTCAACTTCTGTTTCCTACGAACATATTGAGGATAGAACTGTTTCAGCGACTCAGTCATCTTCATCTCTGACTGATGGGCCAGAATCTGTTGCAAGAACATCTCCTCCTAGTTTCCCTGTCTGCAACACATCTGCTTTAGATAATAAGAGATCTCTTGTAAATAATAGCTCCTCCTGTCTTGACGTTCATTTACATCTAGAAAAAGCTAAACTTGCTGGAAAGTCCATCAGCAAAAGTGAAGTTCTGTCATCCTTTGAGGCCATCATCAAATCTTTGACCCGAACAAAGGAGAACATAGGCCGAGCTACGCGTATTGCAATTGACTGTGCCAAATTTGGCTTTGCAACTAAGGTAGACCTTTCAATAAGATATTTGTGGCCTCAGATTTTTTTGAAACTTTTACTTTTTTGAATGACCTTTTTCTTAAGAACCATATGATGTTAGCAAAGTTATTTTTTCATCATATTTACTTGTTATCTTCTAGTTGCATATTGTGACCAACCATATATATCTGTCAAACATTATTTATTTGGTCTGGTCATCTTATTTTATTCTTACGAATGTAATTGGTGCCAATTTGATATTCGGTATTTGTTCGGTGATATGTAATTTACAAGCATGTAAAGTACCTTGTGTGCCTTTTGCTGTAAGTCTTAACCTGTATCGTTACCTGGCATCTGCTTACCATTTTCTTGTTATTTTTATGGGTATATAAAATTCTTTTAAAGTACCTTGGAATATCTCCAAGGATTTAGCGGTGGATAGGAGCGCTTGGAGGCTAGCAATCCACGTGCCAGAACCGTGACTTTTGCTCTTTTCTATTTTTGTTCCACCCTCTTCCATTTTGTTTCGAACCCTTTTTGTGTTTCTCTTTCCATTGTTTCTCTTGAGTTTCATCTCTAGCCTACCCCGACTTGCTTGGGACTAAGGGCTTTGTTGTTGTTGTAGGGTGACGCTTGCATTGTTACTAAGTATATATGTTTCATTATAAGAATGTCTATGCTGCTGCTATTCTATGAAAAAATGTAGAAGTGTTTATATGAGGGTGATTCACATTATAATATTGGTGCTCTGTTTAGTCACAATTTGGACTCTGATTGGTCTCTGATCATATGTTTTTTGGTGTCTTTATGGTTATAGTTCTAGTTTGACACAATTGGCCACTACTGATTGATGTGAAGGATATCTTGCTTGATGTAATTGGTTTATTTTTCACCCTATGTCACCATCACACGTCTCCACTCAAGCTCATGATCCTGAAGGATACTATACGATTGATGTTAGTATCGGTTATAATGTTCTATTGTACGTTTTGCTCTAGGTGGTGGAAATACTGGCGCATAATTTAGAAAGTGAGTCAAGTTTGCACAGAAAGGTTGACTTATTTTTCCTTGTTGATTCTATCACTCAATGCTCTCGAGGCATTAAAGGTAACTGGAGCCTTAGTTTGTCGATGCTGTTGTCATTTTGTATGACCTCTACATACTCAATATAGTTTTGACATTTATGTTGAAATTGATCGATTGTTTAGGGGATGGTGGCGTATATCCATCTGCTATCCAGGCTCTCTTGCCCCGTCTATTGTTAGCCGCTGCCCCACCTGGTAGTAGTTCTCATGAGAATCATCGGCAGTGTTTGAAAGTGAGTGAAAATGGTGCTCCCCTTCATACTTATGTTTTTACATTTCTTCTGTTTCATAAAAAGCATGGTATTAATATTCTCTGTATTGGTGAACAGGTTTTGAAAGTATGGCAGGAGAGAAAGATTCTTCCAGAACCGATAATCCGCCACCACATCCGGGAGCTTGATGCACTTTGCGGCTCATTTCCTACTATTGGCTCTAACCGAACCTTGAGAAATGAAAGAGCTTTCGATGATCCTGTCAGAGAGATGGACGGAATGCTGGTGGATGAGTATGGAAGGTACTTTATTTTTTATTTATTTTTTCCATCAATCAATTGGGAAAAAAAATGGTCCTTTCTCTATTTGTTTGATTCAATTATCATTGGCCATCACTTACGGGTCACAGCCTTTTGCTTTTAGCAACTCAAGCATTCAGCTTCCTGGTTTCTGCATGCCTCGTATGGTGGGGGTGGATTGTGCCGAAAACGATTCTGATGATGAGAGCTTTGAGGCTGTCACACCAGAGCACAATCTTGATAATCATGAGGCCGAAAAGAATCCAATTCCTGCAGCCGAAAAGCATCGGCATATTTTGGAAGATGTCGATGGGGAGCTTGAAATGGAAGATGTGGCTCCCTGCTGTGAAGATGAAATTGTTGTTTCCACCAGTAGCTTTGGTGGACTTGATCAAGCACAAATGTCCCATCACCAACCTAAGAATGTTGTACCTTTGGCATCTGCCCCTGTGTCGAGGTCCCCTTTGCCCCCGCCGCCGCCACCTCATCCACTTCCGCCTTCTGCTTTTCCTCCTGTGATGCCTAATTCTGTTACGAACGGCCCTGACTCTAATAAGCCTTATTCAAGTTCTCAGGTTTCTTTCTATACTAGCTTCACAATCATTTTTGCCAATATAGTGCGTGATTGGATATGGATTTGGCTAGTTTTTATCCAATCACTTTTTTTTAACTCAACCATATAATCCTCAATATTATTAATATAATTAAACAAGTATCAATCAATCATCCTTACACATCCCATCAACTTTAATTCACTATTCATCCACTCACATAATTTTAACTACTTATCACTTCCAATCACCTTTTTCCTACTTTTACATGAAATCAACTTTAATCATTTTATTTTAAATATTATTTTAATACAAACTCAAAATCTCACTCAAACTTAACTCAACCACTTTTTCCAAATTAACTATTGTTATCCAAAAAAACAAATCGAAACTCAATCGTGGTTAATTTTCTTTATGTGATGTTTTTGTACCTGCAGAAATATAATAACGGCAATTTGCGAGATCCCATGAACGTGGATGCTGTTCATCACCGTGTTCGTGGAAACAAGGATTATGAAGCCGAGGCTCCTAGATATATGCCAGACAATGGTTGTTTTAGCGATCGACCAACATCTCGATTTTCGGGTAGAGCTTCTGGTAGCGACCAGCCGAATGATGGATTCGGCAAGAGTTTCCATTTACGCCCTCCTCACCCTGCCCCTTCGAATCAGTTCTCGTATGTCCAAGAACAGCGGGGGCAATCACGGAGGGATGCCCCACCGCCTTCCCGGCAGAACAGATTTCATTCACGTCATTCGGATAATGGAAACTTCTATAGGGATCGTGACAGAAATAAGTTTGTCCAGCGTGATAATATCGGGGAGGGCTGGCGGCCTCCATATCCATCCAACATCTCGGGTAACTATGATTTCTCAATGTTTGACCTTTTTTTTAAAATTATAAATTCCCTCACGAGATTTCCCAATGTTTGACCTTTTCATGTTGTGAAAAAGATAATAAAAATATAAAAAATGCATTTGTAGTTTCGAAACACTTTTATTATTATTTTTTATTTTAAAAATATGTTTTTGGTTTGGTTGGTTTGACCTCAGTTAATTTTAGGGATTAACAAGTTTTAGTATGAATCTTATAAATCAGAATGTTCCTTATTATCCTCTCAGGTCCATGCTATCCTGATGGCTCCAGGATGGCTAATGCACCCATGACGTATGACCCACCTAGAGAGCCACCAGGACCACACCATAGGTGGAATTACCCTTCACGGCCCATGAACCACAGACATTACAATCCTTACAGGCCACCTTCTGAAGGTCCTATACCTGTGGCAAATAGAGGTGCACTTTCTATCTTTTTGTGGGACATAATCATACGAGGAGTTACCTTGAAGGCTTTTTAGTTCTTCTTAGCAAAAATATGTTGTGACATTTCTTCCTAACAAACATAATACTGCAATTAAAGATGGAAATTTAGTGAAAGTTTGGCCTGAGAAGCAAACTAGCCCAGTTAACCATTAAGCTGTAAAGTAGTCCAATTAAGTTAACCACTCTGCTGTAAATCCGAGCTGCAGTAATAGCATTAGCCAGTTTCTGCAAATTTTGTCTACCTTTGCTACTCCTTCGAATTTTTTAGTTGTTCTTTTTTGTTGTTTCAGGCCCCAACTATTGGAGGCCAAGATGACGAGTGTCGGGCATCTTTGTCAAAATGGTATTATTGGGCTCTGTTGTGTTTTCTTTACATTAAGGGTTTATTTATATACCATTTATCCCATTTATGTTTAGTCTTTATCACATGAAATCCCAGCTATCTTTTACAGTTACAACTTACAAGTACTCTCTTCATATTTGTTTCTATTTAACCATAAACACTCGCTGATTACAAACTTCAGAGGATGTTCATATAATATAAAGCGCATATTTGTGATTTTAAACGGTAGCTGTGTTTTCAGTGGTCATCAGGCTTGACCTAATAGTAGATTTGTGATTTATCCTATCTATTTTACATGCATACATTTGCTTATTCACTACTATCTTTTGTTAGGTTGATTGTTCATCGGGTGTTGTATCTCGCCTTGAGAAATTCTTCTTATGGCTGACTGCTAAATCTCGAAAGATATCAGAGTTGGTGTGGAAGATCAGATATGATTTTCATTCCATTGTACATATGCATGTAGATGTACTTTATGCAGTTGCCAAATGGACATAAGATGCTTTGGGACCTTCCGGTGGGAAAACACTATGTTACCCACTTGATCGTTCGCATCTCTAGTTTAATTTACAAAATTCTTGAAATTTTGATGACTGTAACTATATGTTATTTATTTACCTTTAGGTTGTGTATGATTTGTACCCTGTTCTCTCTCAGGCTCCTTTGTAAAATTGTCGACTATCCCTGTATATTTCGAATAATTTTCAACATCCCCAACTGATCATGATTATTTATACTGAAAGATGAGTCTGTATAATCATTATCCATAAATTATTTATGTAATTGTATGATTTATGATGCGTGTTTAATTCATTTGTTGGTTCTTGTTATCTATGACGACGTACTATTGTGCTTGCCGGGTGAGTTTTGCATTTTGGTTTTGTGTGGTGGTTCTGGAATTGGTCGAAAAAATGACGTGAAGGTTTATGGTCGTTTATGGACTAAAGTCTTTTATTCCATAGATGTGTTTGTGTGGAATCACTTCCATAGGTATCATGAGTTTGGTTTGTTTTAGTTCGGAGTTTTCCCATTAATGATAATAAACAATCAAAGTTGAGTTTGTACTAACGAGCTGCTCAATTATGAGAAAGCAGCACTCGCTCTCGTGTATGGTGCTTCAAGGAGTCGAAGCGAAGTACTCGGAGGTCGAAAAGCAACACTTGCACTCGTCTTGATTGTTGGGAAGTTGCGACATAAGGTCATTGTCCGTATAAATTATACCTTGAAAGATATTTTCGAACGACCATCGGCCACGAGAATAATGGTTGAGAGGACAATTGAGCTAGGGGAGTACAATGTGGAGTTTGAGGTGATGAGAGTTATAAAAGCTCAACTCTTGACAGACTCTGTTCAAGAGAACGGTGGAGAATGAGGTCGACCAATGGAAGGTTTATGTGGATGGCTCCTAGGTGATTGGAGGAGTAGGGATACAAATATTGGTCATAATCCCTGAGTGAGATCATTTGGAGTTCGTCGTAAAGCTGTCTTTTAGGGCCTCGAATAATGAGGTGGAATAAAAAGCATAAATCAATGGGATTCAACTTGCCGCTAAAGTGGGTGATCAGAATGTGGTCATTCACTCAGACTACGACGAGCTGGTCAAGAGAGAGTACGAGGCGAAGGAAGATTGTATGCAAAAATATGTGGTTGAGGTGCTTTCGTTGCTGAAATGATTTACGACGTTGGAGTTCATGCAAATACCGAGTAAGAATATCAAGGCTAATCTACTATGCAAGGTGGCAGACTCTTTTGGTAGATTGCAAGTGCAGTCGATGACATTGATGGGAATGGATTCAAGTGTAATGGAGCAGATTATGGAGGTTGAGGAGCGAGAAGACTGGAGATCACCACTGGTGAGGTGGCTGTAGGCTTCTTGAGGGCATTAAAATATCCGAGGAGATCAAGTTGCAAGACGAGTTGTGATGTTTTTCTTGTAGAAGGGGGTATTGTACAAGCGGTCTTACGTGGGGCCACATCTACGCTGCGTTTCTGACCAATATGGAGAAATGAGAATATGTGATGAGAGAAGTACACAAGGGCTTCAGCGACGACAACACCAAGGCTAAGGCATTGGTGGGGAAAGTATTACGAGTTGGTTACTTCTGGCCCAAGATGAGGGCAATGATGTAGAAGCTCACACAAAAGTGTCTAAAGTCGAGCTCGACTCGTTCACCAAATGAGCTTTAGCTTGTTTAATTTAACAATACTAGTTGTATGGAATGGAAGCAGTAATCCCAGTGGAAATAGGTCTCAACTCGTAGAAGGTATTCAATTATAGTGAATATATCTTGCTAAAGAATTAGAAGATATTGGAAACATGTCATACTAGAAAATGAGATAAGAACATATATCTTTCTTAGTAATGAGGTTAAGTGCGTAAGAATACAATCTCTCAATTAAATAAGGTTACTAAGTTCTTTTACAATTAATGTGCAATACATACTTTACTTCCAATTTCACATTTCATGAGCGAGATTTAATTTGAGCGTCGAAAGGTTTTTTACTGGGACCTCTCTCGGCGAACTTTGTAGGTCACCTGAGGTCAAGTTGGGGACGGTTCATGGCATCACCGGTTCAGAGACAATTTGTACATCTATCTTGAAGAATTTGAGAGTGATTATATATATTTGACAATTTCCAATTTTAATAGTTTCACCCGGAAAATACATGAATAAAACTAATCTTTTATGTGGTACTATAAGAGAGAAATGACATTTAGGTAAGAGATAAGGATAGTAAGCAATGCTTCACTTTAGCCGAACATGGGGCATACTCATCACGTGGGAGTAAACCCCATCTGCAGAATGGGCCCATTAGTCCCACGGCCCAAGATAGAAAATCCAAGTCATCTTAACCTAACTATTGGGTCAATGCCAGTAGATGTGTCAACCAAACGGGTCACAGTTTAGGCCCATGTCCAAGTCAGCAATTAATGCACACACACGAAGCCTACAATATTTTATTTCCCCAAAAGAAAGAAAAAAAAAAAAGAAAAATTGGTTAGGTGCAGTATAAAATATTTAGTTTCGTTTTGTGGGATAATCCAGTACTGTATTATAATTGTATATATCGTTTTTTTAAAACAATTATCATCCATATATTTTTTATTCTTGATCGGTCTTGTCAACAAGATTACGAAGCGGTAATATGCTATATCGAGATTACAATTCAAATTATAAATATACATAATTGGAATTATGAAAATGAAAGAAACTAGGGGTAGTAAGACAATCGACGAATTAGGTGTTTGCGTTGATACGTTTGCATCGAGATTTGTTGAAGAATTTTGGATGGCTCTGGGATCTCTTTTACACGAGCCTTGTTTAAAGCAATCAAATAATATGCGAGAGAGTCGAGTATTATTTTGATGTATTTTTTTATTGTTTTTTCGAGGCCCTTTAAGCTACTAGGACATAAATATTTATAGAAAGGGGAGAACAATAGAAAATATTATTTATGGGACACGTGGCGAGCTTTCAGCGGGTCTGCCCACATGCAAGGCGTCGTGTGGCATAGCAATTTGCTCGAGTGGCTGATTTTTTAGGCAGTGCGAACTGATTTTAGGCAGCAACTCTTTTCACACTTGATCATCTGAGATCAGTATGAAGAAAACTTCATTCGCTTAAGGCTGATGTGAGGAGACATCACTTTCTACACCATGGTGGCATTGATCTGATGTGTTTAAGGCTTCGAGCGAAATCGACATAGATAATGGCGTCTACGTTTTTCAGACGTACCGAGCCAATGTAAATCCTTCGCCCGCATCATCGCCGTCTAATGAGCTAATGCAAATCGACATATTTTAGGTATAACAATTCTAATCAATATATTTAAAATATATATATATATATATATATATATATATATAAATCAAACCATTTCAGACAATCAAATATTTAATAATTAATTAATTAAAATTATTATTTAAATATTTTTATATCAACCGAATTTTGTATAATTTACTTTATATTCATTTACAAAATCCAAAATAATACATTTTTCCACCTATTTTATTTCCATTTTGCTCATCATTTTTACTATCATATTTTTTTTATATAAATAGTCTATGTCCATTCAAATATCACATCATTGAGATGCATTTAATTAAAGTCAACTAATTGTATTTGCAGTAATAGTAAAGTATTTTGTAGTTTTTAAAAAATAATTATAGAAATGTTTGTTGAAGAAAAAAATCTGAAATTTTAAAATTGGGCTTTTTAGGGCCGGCAATGATGAGTGGCTGGGCCTATTGGGAAAGTAAATAAATGATAGCTGCACGTGACGACGGTAGTTAAATGCCCGACATTTGATAGTTCGTTGTCAACTAGTCGGCTGTGGGCCTATTGGCCCAGTTATGTAGTTTGTATCTACCGCTTGGATTTTTTTTATATATATATATATATTTTTTTCCTAAATGTAATAATATTTTCATATAATATTTATATGAAAATATTAAAATGACTGGTTTGGGAGATTACAAATAGTAGATCTTCTTTCTCGTTTCTCATTATTTCATGTTTATTGTACGATGTAATTTTCTTACCGTTTATAAATTGCAATTTTAACTATTGGTAATTTGCATTTTGTTATTAGCTCGTTATTAATTTAGTAAGATAACTTTTAATTTTATGTTAAACTCATATCTATACTAGCAATTTTAATCTGGTACAAGTTTTATTATTTTGGACGGAATTGGCATAACTAAAAGTCTTTGAACCAAATTAAAAAAAAAAAAAATCGTATAACTAAAAGTTATGCATGTTAAAAATCGAATATTTGGTCACAAGTACTGGTCGAAATCATGTTAAAAAATCAATTATTTTATCGTTGGAATTATTAATTTGGTCGGATTAATACCCAAATGCCAGTTGCATGAACCGAATAACCTACTAGCAGTATATTAAATCAAATTAGTGTATGGGTCAAAGAAAAAAATATTAATTATAATATAGTTATATTAATTAATTTGCTGCACTCTAAAACTTATTAATAAAATGCAAATGACTTATGTTGCCAAGACAATTTGGTCCATGCACTTAAAAAATTATCGATCTT